TACACACACATACACACATATGAACACACTTACACACACATGTAGTTTAAAAGGCAGTTAAACCAAATTAGTCATTATACAAGAACATTTCATGTACCTTTGTAGTTTGCAGTTTTAACTATGTTTCCTTTACTTAAAATGTCTTTTCTCACCTTCTTTGATGCTTAAATAAATCATATCTTGAGTTTCACATCAAATGTCATACCTGCTAACTTTTGGACTTATCTGTTCCCTCTTTGGGGACTCCCATAGCACCATATGAATCCTCTATTACCAGTTTTAGCACATTAAATAGCAATTTGTTAATCACCTTTCTGCCTCTTCCCTTTTGTACCACAGTTGTCTAGGGGGCAAAATCTACTTTATACTTTTCGGTACCCAAGTTTACTCTCACATTGCTCATCATGCAGTGCTCAATGCCAGGGAGGTATTCAGTGAGTATTTGTTGAATTACTGTGAAGGGAAACCAAGGGCTAAAGAGATAAAGTTAAATTTGTTTACTAAAACATCTATTTGTTTTCAGGATCCTCTTGAAAAGATGAGCAAAAGAGGCTAAGAAAGAGTAAAAGTGATTGTTCTGTGGATTACTATTTACCAACTTTGGCCTCAGTCACTAGTTCTTGGCAGTAGTAAAATCCATACTCTAACAATCCACCAAAGTGAGGTTAAAAAAGAGAAAGGTAAGGCAACAAGTTGCAAAGAGAAAGTGGGTAAAACAACTGAAGATAACAGAACCAGATTGCACTGTATAACATTATATCATTGTATCAATGAATGGAATTCTCTCTCTGTACCCCCTCCTCTATTTTCACACACAGAGGGTCACATATGCAAACATACACAGAATTCCTTCAGGTTTATTACTCGTTTCCCTGCTAAAGTGCCCATTTAGAGTTGTTATTATTATATGGCCATAGTCAATTAACTTAATACCTTTGATTAAATGTCTTTATTTTTTTTTATTCATTTATTCATATATGCATACATTGTTTGGGCCTTTTCTCCCCCCTGCTCCCTGTCCCTTCTCTCTCCCCTCCTGCCCCCTCACTTCCAATCAGAATCCGTTCTCCCCTTTTCTCTAATTTTGTTGTAGAGTAGTAAATGTGTTTATTTTTAAAATGAAAGTATCTATCCCAATCCTACATAGTTTTTGTTAATTAACATGAAATATCATTCACATTGTAATCAACAATTATAAAGTATAACTATGAAATATGAGATATTTTTACGTTATGCTAGTACAATCATGCCAAAAAAAAAACTAGTATTTTACATTTTCACAATTGTTTATATGAGAAACAGAAAACTTGCGCATGTTCAGGTTGAAAAAAAGTTGCTTAGGTAGGGAGGTAAGTTAGGTTGTTTGGGAAGAGTCTTTTGACTACCATATTTGCCAGATGTGGGAGTGTCTAGTTATCCATTAATGTATTGTTACATTGTATTATATAAACTTGAAAGTGATTTTCATAGATTAATATTAAGACACTTTAAGAGAGTATAAATTTGAATTTAATGCAATGATGTCTGTTAATACTCCTTTGGTACTTTCCTGATCAACCAGGCCAATAACTCAGTTCAGACCTAATGTTATGTGATCTCAAACCTCTATCTCCAGATCAGCTTTCCCTACTGAGCTTCAGACCTAAATTTCTAACTGCCTGAAAATCAATTCCAGCTCATATTTTTTGGATATTTCAAACTTAACATGTCCTAAAATAAACTAAATCCCAAAATCTATTATTATTCCTATTATCTCCACTAAAATGCATGAAATGATCATCTACCCAAGCCAAAAATTGTACAATCTTTAAGTTCTCTATCCAATTCTATATCCTGTCAGTTACATGCTTTCATTAATTCTGTGCTGAATAATTCAAAATTTCCTCACCTTCACTCCCTACTTCTGCTCCTAACTTATCTCAGACTCTGATATCTGCTATCTAAGCCATTGCATTCATAGTGGCAGAACATATAACATTAATCTCCACCTAAACTGTAGTCCTCTTTCTCTATAAACATTTTATATGACTCATGTACTTCCACTCCTTTCCACTTGATCCAAACTTTTGTTTTAATCTATTGGTTTGCATTTTTATCTGCCTCTTCTGTTGAACATTGTCTTATACAAAGACAAGAAGGCTGTCTCATTAATGTTTATATCCATAGCAACAATCATAATACCTACATTTTGTAGAAGTCAGAAAATGGTGAATAAAGAGATTTTAAGTGGGTGAAGGAAAAAACTCTGTGTAAGAATAGGTCTAAGTATTTTTAATAAGTTGTTTCATTAGATTGTAAATAATTTGAAAACAATGACTTCATGTATCCCAACATTATTCTTGCCCCTGTGCCATAACAGGTTTGTCCAATTGTAGTAAATTGCTGCCAAAATTTGACTTTGTTTTTCTTTTCTCCCATATTCTTCTCTTTTTTCTATTCATTCATAGCAGAAATGAAAAACCAACTTATAACACCCTTTTAATATCTTGTGTTATGTGAAAATATTCACATAAAAGAGTTTCTAGATCCCCCAAATTATCTTTCTTTGTATTTATTCTTTTACATTATTATAACTAAGTTTGAATCAAAGCCAATCCTGGAAAATGTCCTAAATACAAATAGTATTGTAACATAAAAACTAGCAACACAAGAGAAACTAAGACTTAAAGAACTGGATCAAAGTACTCATCGTCTCATATCCCAGATGAAGATCACTGGTTTTCCTAGAGAGTTAAGACTTGGGGTAGCCTCTGAATAACAATTGGCTGGGCAAATGAAAGTGCCAGACTGTCACCAGAATGAAATAAAGACTTTGGATTAGTGATTAAGAAGAAAAATCCTTAAAGGAAACACACTTAATAAATCTACATAGTAATTTAATTTGCTAAAAATTAACTAACCAATCATTCATCATGTTCTTGTGTACATCTAATATATGTACACCTGTGCAAAGGTTGGGGTAAAATGCAATGTTCTACTTTACTAAATGCATCCATGTATATGTTGGGTAGCCTCTTCAATATCTTACTTTCCATTTTCTTTTAAAATTATTTGACTGTATTTGTATGTAGTGGAAAACAACAAAGCACTATCAGATATCAGAATGAGACGGTGGCATTTCACTGCACTTCATAGAAGTTGTTCTTTAATCTTTCACCCCAAACTTCTTCTAGCAAAGGACCTTTGGAAATAAAAACCCTATGTACCAGGTAGGAAGAACAAAAGAAGACTTGGCTCAGGAAGTGAAGTATGTAATAACTTAGGCAGTTAGTATTTATTTTGACTTATAATAAAATTTAACTATTAATTCAAATATATATTTATTATTTTAATGGTTAGAACTAGGTTTCTTTTAAGGGAGGAAAATGTCTTCATGAACATACATTATTAAGCTTTTTGACATGGATTAACAGATATTTAAAAGAATGTTAATTTCTCTACCTTGTTAATAATAATAATGAAAAAGAACAGGAGTTGAAAGGGGCAAAAGCAGAGGAGAGACAAGACGATGGAACAATGGGTCAGAGGTTTATTATTACAAAGGAGTTTTAAAAACAGGGAGGTCTGACGTTGCATTTGAAGTTAGGGCATTAGTATAATACAAACTCCCACTCGTATCTCTCTCCTACTCTTACATAAATGCCTTTGTGTTAGTGTTATGTTGTTCTTCTTGGTTTTCATTTTGTTTTGTGTTGTTAACTTTAGGTGGTAAAGAGTTGGGCTAAGAGCTGATGTTGATGCTTTGGTTGAGGGATTGTGAAATAGGAGTATTCCATGAAGTGTAGCAACATGATCTGTACACTGAACTAATTTAGTGCTTGCAATAGCTTGAAGCCAGAGGTAAACCATGATGCCATAACCCCTGGAGGAAATCTGAATAAATCTTTAGAGGACCATTGGCATACAATGGATTCAAGCCAAAGTCACCTATATATTAGGGGAAATTTAAACATCACCTAGCTTCTAATCACACATATGGTACCTCAAACTCTTTTTAAAATTGGCAATTTACCAATCTAAAATTATTTTCATAAAAAGATGTATTCAACACAACACAAGAAATGTACTGCATGCCATCCAGCCATCCAATCACAGAATTACTTGCAATGCAGACTGCCAACTTTTGACTTTGTAGCCAATGAGTTATAATAGTCTGAAATGAATGACAGATAAAGGTAAATATAAAAAGGACAGAAAGGTAAGAATTTCTAGGCCTATAAACACACACTTGTGTATATTTGGTTTTGCTGAAAATATGAAATTTGATCTTTCACCAATCTTCAGCTCCAACTTTTACTTTCTGATTACTTAGAGTAGCACAGCATTTAAGATACTCGGAGGAAATGAGAGAATAGTACAAGGGACCATCCCCACCTCTGATGAGTTTAGAATCTACTTAAGGACATCAGATTGGAAGACATAAAAATAACCATAATTGCCTTATACTTTAGGGAGCATTTAAACACACATTATTCATTCAATTATTCACAATAATCCAGTGAGGTTGAGAGAAAGGGCAGTGTTCACTATGTCCACTTTAGAAATGAAACTACAAAAACCCAGGATGTGACTTAATCAAACACAACCACAGAACCATTCCTGGCTAAACACACTTTATATTCCAAACTTCTTCCAAGAATGAAACAATTAGTGTTTAATATACATAGAAAATTCTGTGTATCTTGTTGCAACAAATACACTTAGAAAAATGTAAGTGTTGCAATTTTTATATTACATTTAAATGAAATTATCAAGAGGGAGAAGCATGTAATATTAATATAAATAAATACATATTTATATCTATTAATGACTATAGCACTAATATAAATATAATGCATATTAACATCTATGCAATACTAAAATGCTCTATAAACCTAATTTGTTAATCTGTAAAGACTTTCCAGTTTGTATTTTATTATTTTTTTAACAGTACATGTTGTAGAACCACGTAGCTTCACCAACACAGCTAATCTAACAGTGATAGTCTAGCTGCCTCCTACCTTGCAAATTTCAAGGAACTTCTCACTGGTGTATTTCATAGGGTGCTCAGTGAAAGTAGCATAAGGAACTTCAGTGGACCATGGGTTCCAGCGGGACAATAGCGACTGCTCCTCTGGACTCCCCCAGTAGATCCTAAGGCCTTCTCCTGGTCTCCTAAAGGAAGGAGTTTTTGACAAGGTTAGCCATTTTCATCAGATTAAAATGAAAAGAAAAGTGTGGGAAAGGAATGTAATTCTTCATTTAGCTTTTATATTGCTTCCGAGATAAGTGATTTACCTCAAATCTAGTTAAGTTATTCCAGGAAATTTAGGAAGTCAGAAGAAAAGGATGGATTTGCTTCCAAAGACATAAGTTCAAGGGGTTCCTGAGCATTCCACATGGACAGTGGCTAGAGCTGGAAATGTAGGTGTTCACCTAGTGCCAACATTCTGATGGTAGGAGTTAAGAGAGAAAGAAGGAGGAGGTGTCAGTCAACAAGGTGGGACAGGAATAAGGACAGTAAAGTTGGGAGACAGTCTCAGGGAGAAACGACATGGTGACAGTGACAATTTCCTCAAAGCATTAAACATAAGCAAGAACTCATTGAGAAAACAGACCTGGGACTTCCCAAGTGGAAGGACATATGCCATCTTTGAGAGGTATGTTAACCAATTCAAAATGCCCAGCTTCTCAATTCAGTGACCTCAGCTTCTGCCTTTCCTGGTTCTCCATTCTCTGCACATATTCCATCCAGTGAAACTGTGGCAGTGGACACATCAGTGTTTGTGAAAGTCTTCACCTGCCCCTTCCCTCTAAATTCACAGTCCTCATCCCCCGAGAGGCAGAAGGAAGCCACCCTCTGGCATGGCCCAGGCCTGGTCATCTGGTAAATCTAAGTGCAGAGCAAGAGAAAGTTAGCTTAGGAATAGAATGAGGGAAGTCCTTCATGGCAAAGGAATGTGGCCACGTTGAATAATGAAACTCATTTCTGTAGCCTTTTTCTTCAGATGTGTCCATCAGAATTTAAGATTTGTGGCACTAGACATCTCTGAATGCAAAGAGATACCTGGAGGTTAAGCCAAGCTTAGGTGCTTGGCATTCAACAGGCTTTAAAACTAAATTGTTTGTAATTCTAAGAAGCCCATGAAGCATCACAGAGGTCTCATTTCCTCTATAAATTAAATCCTGGGATTTCTAGCACGAAAAACTGGAGCTTCAATGTGGTCCCTTCACAAAGCTGTCACTTCCTGTATTAAGGACAGATTCCTTTGGGAGTACTATTGTGGTTTCTGAATGTTTATCCACATAGAGATGTGTATAAACACAATCTCACGCATATCCATACACCCCCCCACCCCGCAAGAAGCTGATCTCTGAGCTGCATCTTACAAAAGGAAAGAAGGAAAAGAACCTGGCACAATCAGCTGCCCAGTTCTCAAATTTTTGATGCTTGTATTTGAAAACTGACACTCAACATTTTTGTACTTAATCCTTTGTCCAAAAAAAGAAAAGAAACAAAAAAGGAGTGGGAAGAAAACAACAGAGGAAAAGAAAAATATTGTGAATACCTCTGAAGGGCCCTTTCTAAGCTCTTATCTTCTCAGCTGCTGTACTAAATTGGTCATCCATCCCCCATCCCACTGGCCTGCGCTTTTTTTTTTCCTGGCCTAGTAAATAAAGTCTAAACTCCATAAATATTCTGTGCATGTTGGTTAATAGAGCGTTCTGGCTTGAGTCCACTGAAACAACTTGCACAAAGGAATTATTTATTGCTTCACATGTCATTTTATGTACTAGCTACAATTTGATTATATCCAAAAGGGATGAAATCTGCCAAGATAGCTTTCTTATTAAGTACACGTAATATTCTTTTACTTCAGGAAAATCCCAAAATGAAGTTCAAACATGAAAGTCAAGAAGGCCTTTATCTCTAAATGCCAATAAATTTGACAATAGAAATGGTCTTTCTCAAAGATGTAGTATACTTCTAAATATACAAGTTCAGTCAACCTTCTTCCCAGAAGCAAAAGCTGAGAAGAATAAATCTAGAAGTAAGCGATCTCTCCAAAAGTAAACTTAAGGTGTAGCTTTATCAGGCCCTATAATATCAGAGGGCTATGGAATCTATCATCCTCTTCTTTTTATTCAGGATCCTTAGAGCAAATGTGGAGACTGTTGATGTCTACAGGACCACAGATGTTTCATGTGATAGTACCTTGTGCTTGCATGACAGACGTCATGTGATCTAATAGAACAGAGTACCAAGGGCAAAGAATAGCATGTCTGATAGTCCTGTGTTGGAATCTCGGCTTTGACACTTTGTATGTGTCACATTTCAATTTCTGAATCCCATTCGGAATTTAATCTGAGTAATTTCCCCATCTGAATCTTCTGCATACATTTTCCCATACTGACAAATAATATGATATCCACAACTGTTCTTTTGAGAGTTTTTATAGTGCTGTGACATTTGGTAACTGTGAGTGATGTAGACAGCTATGGTCAATGTTGTTACTAGCATTTGCCTAGTCAAGGACCCAGAGCATCCACAAGAAGTCTCTGAGTTATGGCTTCTTTCATTTAGAGAATAAAATAAATTTTTCTGAGCAGAACTCATCTTCTGATGCCAAGGTCACACCAAGTATCGTCCCTTTACTCCTAGCTGACTTTTGAACTTTCTACAATATTTTAGAAACATGTAAAGTAACAAATCATCCATTATTTGATGGAATAGCAGTTTAAGCATGTTAAACAATAGGATGTCAGAGCTAAAGGGCTCTTGGAATCTACAGCTAGTGCTTTCTTTCTGGAGATGAGGAAACTGAGACTCAGAAAGTATGAAAACTTTCCTGAAGCATTACTATAGGACAGGGACCAGCAGAAGAAAGCCCTGAACTCCTGAGATCTCATCAGGGTCTCAGGGTCTTTCGTCATCTGGGCTATACCTACAAAACAGACTAAAAAGTTAAGGTCCTGCTGTTAGAGAACAACCTCATTTCTAATTGACAAAATGTTAAGATAAATTGTCCTAGGAAGGCCTGCCATCATTGGTAGGCAAAAACCTTGCTCAGAGATCAGAAAGAAAGTCCCTGTCTCAAAACAAACTGTACATTTTGGAGTACCATCTCTTGGGATTCCCCAACTCTGGGGGCTCTACTCTGACATTTTATACTTTTCTATCTCAACAAACTCTCCCACTTTATACTTTTTAAAAAAGCAAAAAGTAACAATCACAAAAAGCTGTAGATTTTTTTTTTACTCAAAATTAGCAATTATGATATTTTAGGAAAATAAGGTAGTGAAGGGGAGAATTACAAACAAACAACCTATTTCAGCAGGGTAAGAAAACTGAGTATGTTTCACTGAGTTTCTCTGGTGGGATAATTAAAAACAAGAATCCAACAACAAATTATTTAGCAATGAAGACTTGGCAGTTTTCTTCCTGAAATCTTACTCTGGATATAAACCATGGCTTTCAATAGCTCTGTTGTTTAGGCATTTTATACAAACTTTCTCATCTTAGGTAACAATAATTTTGTGAGAAACAAGAAGATAATAGATAAGAAACTATTTTGTGTGTTGTAAGGCACTAACTAAAAAATATTAAATGCTTACAATACCTTAATATCTACTATGTACTATTAGAAAGTTTATATTTTTAATTTTATTTAACCTAGACAGTAATCTTTTTATCTAATTTGGCAGTCATAAAGGTAGTTACAGAAAATAAGATAAAGAATATGAACAAACTTAATCAGATCACCAAATCAAGAACTGCTAGCAAAATGGAATGAAAGGGAGAAGAAACACCATTATCACTGGATAAAACCAGAGAAGCAAATCACTAGTGCAGATGAAGTATCAGAATTTTCCGTTCTTGTCCATAGCCATGGAACATTCTTCTTTCAACTGATTCTGAGTCATAGTATGCTTTCTTTTACAGTACTGAGGTTGGAACCCAGGACTTTGCACTTGCTAGGCAAGTACTCTTCTATTGAGCCACACCACCAGCCCTTTTTGCTTTTTTTTGAGATAGGGCTTCTGCTTTTTGACTGGGCCAGTCTTGGACCATGATTCTTCTATCCTCACCTTCTGAGTAACCAGGATGACAGATGTGTACCTCCAGACCTAGCCCTCCAAGACACTTCTTATGTATTTCAGTAACATTTGCATATATGTGATTATCTAAACTTAAATCCTTCAGACAGACCTTCATTTGAGTAGCTATAGCCAACCCTTTAATTCTCTTCTCTTCTGACTAAATATAGTTCCTGAATTAGCTTTTCTAATGGGTTAAAAACCAATCAATCTTTTAAATCACCTTAAAAGTGGTTCCCTAAAATAGTCCTTTCTTAGAACATTCTCTCTTCATAGAATTGCTGTGGTTAAAGAAGTGAAGAGACTCAGCCCCTGTTCTCCAGAAACCTATAATCTAATGATCTCTGGGACAATTTGACTATCATCTGCTTTCTAGACCTCAAATAGGTATATATTGAAACCTGAAAGTCTCAATACAGAGGGAAAAGATTGCCTATAACAACTAGTTTTATTCCTACTTTCTATTCTCAAGGAAACCAGGCTCATCTGGCCTGCATTCCAACAGAAGTAGAAGTAAGAAGAGTATTCTCTTCTATTGTGGTAAACTTCAAAAATTCCCAGAAAAGCCATAGAGGAAAAGAAGGTAAATTATAGTCAGAAATTTTTAGGATCCTAGACTAAGTTGGAAGGCTCCTTAGAGGCCAGTTTTCAAGTCTATCACAAACCTACACAACACACACACACACACACACACACACACACACACACACACAGAGAGAGAGAGAGAGAGAGAGAGAGAGAGAGAGAAAGAGCGCCAGAGTTTTCAAAGATCCAGTTCTTCCTTGAGTCATGTTAATTACATGTTCTACTTGGTGAATCAGACTCAGAATTCTACAGCACAGTTGTTGGCAAGGTAGAAGAACTAAGCAATTACAGCTTTAAATCACCACAGCAAACCAACAGAAGGTTTGCCTTCTACAACAAAAAAAGCAAAGACATGTCGAAAGGGTGAGGTTTATATAGAATAGAAAAGACTACTCATGCAAAGAGTAAAAACCCAGGAATGAAGAAGAAATGTCTTAATACCACAAAATGTCGCTCCACATTGAAAAAAGGGTAAACTTTCTTCAATAACA